CGTGCAAGTGGGGCAGCGGTTGTCTGGGTGCCGTGAGCGCTCGCGACGAATGTCACACCTCCGCTCGCGGGGGACGCGGTGGGGATGATGGTAGTGGTGAGGGCAAAGGCCCCTCGCGCGGCGCTGCTTCATTAGCGCGCGGCGGAGTTGCATGGCGCCAAGCCAATGCGGTCCGTGCTCGGCGGCCCCGCGCACCCGGCGTGCAGCCGCCCCATGCACCATTGCAGCACCACTACCATCATGCGCTGGGGCATCCCCTGCAAGCGGGGGTGTGACAGCCACGCAGCGGGCGCGCTGAGGCTGCGAGCCTAGTGACGAATTGCTGGCTTTCTTCAGTCATTTTGTTGGGTGCAAGTAGGTGGGCATACCGATCCAGACGGCGAAGGAGTCGCAGAGGGTGAGCGAGACGCACGCCCACGGACTACAGCTGCCCCGTGCAAATTGACCATGCGGGAACAAAGAATAGGGGCGCGCGAAGGCACGTGCATTTGCACCACCTGACCGTGCAGCAAAGTCCACCCACCTAGCACGACGCGTAGTTGATGTTCCCAGCCTCACAACTGATTGATATCAGCAGCCGTACACATACATCTGCATCAGTCGCATTGACATACTTGCGCTTCACTTCCATCGCTCTATATTCCACTTGTTCTGCTCACTGTACATTCCTCGCTGTCATGCGCACGTCAATTAGCTGACCTGAATCAATGAAGTTTGTGTCCCGCAAGCGGGCTTCAGCTTCGAGAGGTCACGTGCGCAATGAGGTTGGGAGCTGCGCGTTGTGGGACGGCAGAACCGGAATCCAGGTGGCGTGAGCCAATGCAGCGAGACGTCGTGGAGTTGCGACACAACCTCCATATCAGACTGCTGTGACGCAGTTCCGTACTGATGCTGCTTGAGGTGGTGCTGATGTCCGATTGCTCTCCCCTCTGTCTTCCTGGCCTATCCCTACTAATGGACGCTGCTCGTCCTCTCCCTTTAATCCGACTTTTCTTTCTGCAGACCAGCGCAACCCTACCACACACCACCTAATCCGACTTTTCGATCCGCAGACCAGCGCTACCCCACCCGCTACCCCACCACACCCGACCAGCACAAGATACACCGATACCAGAGCATGGCTTTCGTCGACCCAGCTCTGCAACACGCTTACGATGGCCAACGTCTTTACGTGGACGCAGCCGCCACTCTCAACTCCCTTCGAAGCGCTCCACAAAAGAGTGCACACGGTTTTGAGATTGTGTGTCTTGGCGTAGGAGGGGGGCCACTGGAGACTGACTGCAGCTGCTACGCCATCAAGACTTGGGGGACTTCTTGGCTGGACAGTTATGTGGTCATCGAGGGAGGTGAGTCGGTGAGCGAGGAGGAGACTAGCTGGCTTGCGAATATGCGGACGCGCAACAGATGGAGTCAATGGCCCATGTGCATAAATTCAGATTCGAAGCACGAATCGCTTTGGCACCGAGGTGCAATGCGGTTCCGAATTGACGCTGAGCAAGTCCTCTCTGTGTACAATCTAGGCTCCTGGTTGGGTGGCATGTCTCGTGTCCTCGAGCTTCAAGCGAGTCATCAATGTGCCGGCTTTGGCGACTTGGCTCTCTCTTCATCGCCGCCATCTTCTGCAAACGTCTCCAATCTTAGTGGATGGACGAGCAAGGCCAGCAGCTCCAGCGTCTCTTCGAAGGTTGGATACTTGGCTTCGCGTGCAGAGGCATTCCTGATCTCTCACGCGCATCTGGACCACACGTACGGCTTGATACTGGCCAGCGCAGTGACTTCACCTCCTAAGCCGGTGTACGCCCTGGAATCGCCCTTGGCAGCTTTTGAGGGCATCTTTGGCACCGGGGTATGGCCGAGCGTCGTTCGCAGAGAGCAATCTCCTGAGTTCGCCCGAGGAGTCGATGCTGGAACGAAGCCAGCGCGCACAGCTCAGATTCATAATGCAGCCGCTGACACGGGGGTGGGCTACGTGCTACGAGCGTGAGTCGCAACAAAGTCCGATGGGGATTGAGAGACGGTTGAAGATTGTCATGCGGATCATCTAAGTCACCGCACGAGGCCCGTTCCTGCCGGAGCAGTGGCAAGCAACCGTGTGGACAAGTAACCTTAGTCCATGTGCTTACGTGGCTTTCTCATTCTTCATAGTCTACAACCTCGGCGCCCACAATCACTCACCAAAGAAATTTCAGTTCTCGCCTTTGAGCTCTCCCACGGATTGTGCGCTGCTGCGTGCAATGGCGAAGGTTCTGGCTCTGCAAACATCCTTGCTGCAGACCACCCGCACACCACTTCAGGACCGCACGAAAGGCTGCGGTCCACTGCGTTCTTCGTAAGTTTGGACACGGCTTGCTGCTCACGTACCACCATCTTTGTGCTTCTTCTTGCGCTGAGCTCGACGAAATCGTGTCTCTCATCGCAGCTGACTAATGTGGCGACGGGCCAAAATCTGCTCCTTTTCGGTGACGTTGAGACTGACCGCCTCTCACGGACGGATCTCAACTATCAGGTGTGGATGCACGCCTCGGAAGCTATTTGCCAAGGAAGACTGAGTACCATCATGATCGAGTGTAGCTTCGACTCCTCACAGCCTGAGGAACTGCTGTTCGGCCATATGAACCCTGCTGGATTGTACGAGGAGCTGAAGGTCCTCGCGAGGCTTGTCGCAATCCGGGCAAATACAGAACACGCCAGCCGGTGGGACGGGGCCCTTCAAACCCACGCCCTTAGTCGGCCCACCGAAATGAACGACGATCACACAGCGAAGCGAGGTGCCAAGGCGCTCCAAGGTCTTATCGTGGTAGTCACTCACGTCAAAGCTTCAATTTCGCCAGCGAAGAGGCCTTCTGCCGACGACTTCGGTGCCGAGCATGCACCTTTGGAGGTAGGACCTCACGACATGAGGGACCAGATCTTCCGCGAGTTGCTCGCTCTCGAGGAGAAGTTTGGACTGGGGGTGCGATTCGTGATGGCGGTGCAGGGCATGAAGATTGGTGAGTCTCGGAAGCCGCGAGCCACGTGTTTGCCAGACGCCCGCGCGGCATAGCTGGTGCCAATTGAGACGTCAGACACGCCCGGGCCGTCTGGGCGCTAGGAGTTCAGGCGAGTCTCAAGAGATGATATGGCTAACCTTCCTACTCAACTTCAACCTTTCCCGTAAGATTGTTGACTCGATGAGAACTGAAGCCTCACTTACCCTTTTCGATCCTCTACCCTTGCCGGTTGGAACCATAATAGTCGGCTGAGAGTGCCTCTGCATGCCGCCTTGACAATGACAATCACCAACTTGGAAGAGCCATGCGTCGCGCTTCAGAAGCAACCAACCTCAAAAACCCCCCAACCAGCCGCTCTCATACTCGCTTGAAGCCTGCCTGTCTGTATAGTATCGTCGTGCCCTGTTGCCACTCAAGTCACCTCATGCATCGCAATGGAGATAATGCACTACGTCCCTCACACAAAAGCTTTGGGTTCCGGCTCACTCGCTTCAACTTCCAGCGCAGAATCAAGAACCACATTCTAATTGATAATGTCAGTCCGACGTGCCCTTCTCGCCCTGCCGGCCTGCATCTTCTGGCTCGGCCTCGCCACGTACAGCACTTCCCTGTGACTGCTCCCGAGGTTCATGAGATGCAAGGACATCATCCAAAAGCGTAGGCATGAAACGACCAAGCCTATCCGCCGTCAATGTCCACAAAGCGCTCTGTTGAGGGGTGCGCGCGTCCGCGATGTTGGCATCCGCAGGGCGCACGAGCAGATTAGATGCTTGCATCACGAGCAGGACGTTCTTCAGATTTTCGGGAATGGCCTCCGTCTGGATCACATCGACAAGTCGTTGTCAGAATGAGCAAGTCTATGGTGCAATGACATCTTTGCAGTCAGCGAGTAACCACTCACCAATTGGTCTTTCTTGCTGGCATGCATGAAGCGGTCCAGCAAATCGAGCAACTGCAGCCATAACTGCTTGAAGCCTTCATCAATCCCAGCTGGGGCCAGCGCGCTGAGATAGTGCAGAAAAGCTTTGCAGGTGAGGGCACATGCGCGCATCCGCGTTTCCTGCATCCCTCCTGGTCCGAGGTCCGGGTCCTTCTTGTATATGGCAGGCTTCAGCAGCTCTTCAAGGGTGGGAAAGAGGACGATTGTAAATATCTGCGCAAGAGGAAGCTCCGCTGGATCCGCGTCCTGCAACACTTCTTCAGCCAGCACTGTTCGTTGCAAATGCGTCAAGGCTGCTTGTCTTGCAGGTCGGTGTCCATTAACACACTGTGCAGCCAGTGATAGCATCAGACTGATCCACGTAGAACACCATGCATCGGATGGCGGAAGGCGAGAGGTCCGAAGAAGCCGAGGAATCGATGTCCTGACGCTCGCCAATACCTCAATCGCTTCCAGTCCGCGCTCTTGGCATACGGTTTCGTACTCGGCGAGCTCCTTTTTCTCCGTCAACGTTCGCCGTTGTCCACTGCGAGCTTCTTCGGCACGCCAGCCAGTGCAGTCGGCATTCAGGGCGAAGTCTTGCAGCATGTGGATCACGTTTTCAAAATTATCGTTCATCAAACGCTCCTCGGCAATTTGACGAATGATACTGATTGACCTCCTTGCAGAGCGCGCATTTCGAGTCGCTCCTTGATCTGTGACCAGGCTAAGGACGAGACTCCACTCGGTTTGTGACCGGGCGAAGCCGGGATCGCTGCGCAGGACTTGCGCTAGCCCGGCAATCAACTGCGAGCTGACTGCTTGACGGAGCTCCTGCGGTATCGAGCGGAGAGAGTCTAGTGCAACGAAGATTTGATCCCTCAAGGCTCCTTCGGCCAGCGGAGACACTCTCTCGATGAGTCTCAAGAGCGAGACCACAGCGCGCTCAATCAGCATAGGATGGTGGGAGAGAGGCGCCTGCAGCAAGACAGAGATATGCCCAGAGGCAATATTCCAAGCTTCTTGCATCGCTTGATCATCTGCAGAGCACGCTGTAGTTGTGAGGATTTCCAGCACAAAGACGGACGCAGGTTCGTAAGCTAGTTGACGGCGCATTGTGGAGCCTGCACTAGCGATGTGAGATGTAGGTGTCGAACGGCCTGAGCTGCTTTGATCTGTATCCTGCACTCTGCGCAGAGGATCGGCGTTTGCTGCGCGCAATTGATCGATACTAGTCTTGTCGGCCAAGTCGCGTACGGCGTGCAGCGCTGGCAATAGGTTTGGTCCATCCAGCCGCAATATTTGTGCCCAGAGCTCGTCGATGCGGCAGCTTGCGATGCAATCAAGCGTACAAAGGCTTGATTCCACGTCTTCAGCCGTAACGTCGGGTGCTGCTGGCTCTTGAGCCGAGGAATATGGTGAAAGTAGGTACGAAGAAAGAGTGCTGAATAAGCCGCCTCCCTGCGCCCTCGGGTCCTGGGGTGAGGGCCCCAATGATTTCCTCGGTTTCAAGGGTATTGGAACGCTATGCGTCCTGGCGTCCACATCGTCGGGCGATGCAAAGTCCTGCATTTGAGACATCGAAGAGGGCAGAAGCGAGGACACGAACATATTCTTGAGCATTTCAAAGATAGGCGACCAGCCTGTCCGAACATTCACGGCGTTGCCTTGCGCTATCGTGAAGAGAACGACTGCGGCAAGCTGACCCTTGAAGTTGGCTCCAAATCGAACCGATAAGGGGGAGACAGTGATCGCTTGCCCATCCACTTCCACCTGCGCATTGTTGGTCAACGCGCCCCCTCCAGGAACCTGGCCATCCAGTAGACCCGAAGCACTGGCTAGTCCTTGCAGCATGAAGTCGAAGAGCTCGCCCATGTCGAAAGTGCCCGCCAAGATAGCGCATTGTCTGAAGCCGCTAATGGCTCTCTCGAGCAAAAGTTCGTCGTGGAAGGAGGAGAAAGCGTGAGCTATGCTTGCGACAATCGGGCGCCAGGTAGCTGTGAACATCGCCTTGTCAAAAGCTGAAGTGACCGGCGATACGAGACGTCCCGCTGTGCGTGCCCTTCTAAGGATCTCCTTCCATGTGTAATCGAACCCCAGCTGTCCAACGTGCTCTTCAGGCATGACAATCTCTCTTTTGCGGATGCTATCGTAAATTGTCCCAAGGTACTCAATATCGAAATCTTTGCCATCGTTGACGCCTCGCAGATTTCGCCGGTAATCCTCGGCCGTCATGCGCGACCTGTTCTGCGGACTGTGAAGATCAGTGTTGAGCATGATGATGGAATATGCTAGGACGTATACCGCATCCTCGCTCCGAATCTCAGGAGGACTAGCGGCAAAGTAGAATTTGGCGAATGTCTCGGTGATACGATTGATCTGCTGCGACTCGCCGGGCAAACGGAATGTTTCTAGCATCTCGCGCATCGCGTCTGCGACAGGCTTGTCCCTGAAATCGAACAGGCCGATGAAAGCCTCCAGGACTTCAATGTTGTCAGGACGAGAAATATAGTCTCCGAGGAGCTTTTTGTCGAGTCTTGGACAGGTCTTCAGAAATCTTGCGATGCTCTCTGCTTTGCTGAGCCCATCTCGGCCGCTCGTATCGATGAGGCCTTGAGCCTGCAGGAAAGTCAGACCGTCCTTGGGCTTGGCATTGAAACGCGCAGCGCCTGCTAGCAGCTCGGCTTTCTGGATCTTGCTGTCGCTAAGTGCTTGCACGTCAACACTCGGGCTGCGATGCGACTCTGAGTGGAGCGAAGAGCCATCTATGAGCGCTTCCTGTCTAGCAGACATGTGGGAAACAAGCGTAAGAAGTAGATCGAGGGCAAAGAGCTGCGTGCTGTCTTCCGAATTAGGGTGCAGAGGATTTGAGGCGTAGATGGCGCGGCACAAAAAGCGTATGAGATGTTCGTACAGGTTTTCGCAATCGACGTCGCAGTCAAAATTGGCCCAAAGCTCGACAGCAATATCACTGTCCGAAGCTTGCGAGTCGGGCCTGTGCGTTCGACAAATGAGTCCCAGGGTCTCTAGCAGCAGCTCGCGCGCCTCACCTGTAGCTGGTGCGCGCTCTGATGTCCGTGGTTGGGGCGGGGGTGGTGGCGGTGGAGGAACCGCAAGCTGCTTGCCATCACGTGCCTCTTTCCCTGATGAAGCGCGGCCCGCTCCAGGGTGGCTTGCTTTGCTGGATAGGCTGGGAAGAGCTTCATCGCTCCAAGGCTCCAGAGCAAGTGGAAAAGTAGGCGCAAGTCGGTCGAGCAGGTAATCCAACAGATATTCTGACTGCAACTTCACTTGTTCTCGCATCGTCTCGAAGATGATGGCGATGGCCCGCAAAGACAGCGTGAGAACAATCGGGTGATCAGAACGGGTGAGCTGGAAGAGGTACTTGCAAGCGGAGTCCTGCACGCTAGCTCGCAGGGTAGGGAACCTCGCGATAGAGTTGGCGGAGACCTCGAAGATGGAACAGAGCATCGAGAGGCCGAGAAGGCGCATGGTATCTGTGTGCTGAGCGTTGTGAGGATCCAGCAGCGAGATGATGACACGCAGAACCTCTTTGATAGCCGGAAGACCATAAGGCTCTACCTGACCGAGTATGTCCATCTGGTCTGAGTTGACAAGGTCAGCGGACGTTGGGTGCTCTTCGCCCGCAACATGTTTGGGCGAATCTTGTGACTCGTGGCCTGACCGAGCATCAGAGGGCAGCGCCGCATCGCCCTTCGCTTTGCCGACCTCTTCTTCCTCTTCTGCCTCCTCATCGGCTTCCGCCTCGCCGATCGCTTTGAGCTCTTGCAGGGTGGCCGCGGCGGCCGCAGGTACTGCAACACTCTTCGGATCGGGCATCGTCATGCGTCGCATGCGCTTCTCATCGTCCGCCTTATCTTCTCCTACAGGATCCGCCGCAAGAGTCGCGTGCTCTGGCTCCACTTGTGACATGCCATCGTCTCCTGCAAAAGCCTCGTCGTCGGTAGTAGGTATGGCGTGGAGGCGCGAGAAGAGTGTACGAGCCATGGCAATCATCGACTGCTCTGCGGTCTTGCGTAGCAGGTCTGCAAAGGGAACACGTTTCAGGTGAGGTGCCCAGTTGCAGCTCGAGGAGATTCCTAAATCGCACTCACCACTAAGTCGAGTCTGGCAGCACATGCTCAAACCTGTCTCTACCATCTCGCATATGCTCTCGTCACCCAGAATATTCGCAAGCGGCTCCTTTCCCGAAGCTCGATTGGCATCTCCGCATACAAGCTCACGCATGACCGCGAGGATGCGCAGCAGCACCAGCTCGTCAGCAGCAGCATCACTGGCTTCGAATCGGCAGTGTGAGACCGCATGTGCGATCTCAGCGACGGCCGATTGGGCGGCTCGAAAGCTGGAAGAGGAATGCGAAGCGCTGCCCAAGTGATTGGCGGGCAGCTTGATGATGCGGTAGAGCAGGAGGCGATGCACCGCTTGCAGAGCAGCTGACGTGATCGGACCAGTTGTGCGCGGCGAAAGAATCACTCGAAGGAAAGGGGCCAGAAGCACGAGAAGGGGGAGATCGCCTAGTGCTGCGGGAGAGCAGAGATGATCAGCAAGGGGGAGAACGGCGGGACGGCGGCTTGGGGTTTGAGACTCACTTTGCTGCGCTCTTAGCTGTGCACGAAGCACGGTAAAGCCATTGAGCAGTCCTGGCAGGCTCTCGTCGCGGTCACCGGCGTACGCGGCTGACTGCCTTGTGATATTGACGGAGCCTAGGCTCGAAATCGGTCTAGCTGCACTTGCGGTCAAGCGTGCAGAAGGGGATGTTGCAGGAGTGAGACCATTGGATGATGCCGCGCCGTCTGTAGCGGACGAAGTGGACGCTTCAAGCGATGCGACCGCTGCTGCGACCGCTGCCCTCGTGAGAGAAGCTGATGTCGTACCTGGAGCGATGGCACCTGCGCCAGTGGTAGAGCTGTTGCTGCTGCTACCGAGAAAAGACGATGAAGACGCGACCCGAAGTTGCTTGCGGAGCGCAGAAGTAACAGTGGTGATCTCAGAGTGCAGCAAGTGCAGGGGATCCAATTGCACTCCGCCAGCTCCAACGTCACTCAGAGGTGCAGAGCTGGTGGCAAGGTTCCCATGATCCATGACGTGACCTTGACCTGCTCTTCAGTCAACAGGCGTCTGACTACTCTACTTCTACTTGTCGATGCAATCAGCTGAAGATCGGGTCGCACAGGCCAGCAGAGCCCGTCGTTGGATGCTTCCGGGCCAGTACCGACAGGTAAGTCAGGAGCGCCGGGTCTTAAGGTGAAGGCAGAGGCACGAGTGTACGTGGAATGGTGACTTGTGAGGTGTGATGGTTTTGTTGGAAAGCCCGCACCGCACTGACTGTGAGTGGACTAGCTCCGACTGAGTCGTGAATGCTTCAGCCACAAGTACACGTCACGTCCATCACCTACAGCTGATGCTGTTGAGGCATGTGCATGGGCTGCTGCGCCGCGCTAGCGCACTCTAGCGAAGATCACGTGTAGCGTTAGGCCTCCTCAAATTTGCCGAGTGCTCACGCAACCTGCCACATTCGTGATGCGCACTTACAATCACAAATCGTGCTTCTCTCTCCAGGCGAGACCTCGCGAACGCATACACAGCGAATCATTCGCGGCATGCATTGCGCGCCCGCATAGCCACAACAGTGGACGACAAACAAAACCAGATCGGACACATCGCCAAGAAGCAGCAATCACCTCGGAAGGCGTGACAAGGTTTGAAGCAGCGACACACGTGGCGTCGGCGAGGGGGCATGCGTGCAATTGTTGAGAACTCTTCTTGTCTATGCTCGGTCTCCGTGCTGACCAGCTCCTAATGGGCCCTGGAGAAGCGGACGGGCACAGGAACGGTTGTTGAGTTCATTGCAGGTTGACCTTACCTCAAGATTGTCGCAGGCGAACTCACCTGGTAGCGTGTGCGGGCAATTGTGAAGTAGAAGACAGCCGCAAATGCAGCAAAGAAGGACACGACCACCGATGCCTGGGTGGATGCATGACCATCAGCTTCGCTTCGCGACACTCGATCAGCAGCGCCGGCCGACACGCCTCACGTAATTCATCGAGGCCGGGGTGATCGATGCTGTGGTTGGAAAGCAGAACAGAATAATGCTAAACAAGACCCATGCAAGAGCCACGCTACGCGATGGGGACAAAGGTTAGCATCGATGAAGAGGCACATCTTGTCAGCTGGATTGATTACGGAAACGAAGGGTGACACGCACACATTGGCGATCCAACCCAATCTTCCAAGTCCCCACGAAGCAAATCGGACTGGTGCTCGTCTTCTGCTGAGCAACATAGCGATGGGCACAACGTACGATACGCCGAGAAGAATCTGTGGGGGACTCGATGACATTGCAATTTAACGGTCTGCCAGGGTAAAGTCTTTTCCATGCAGATACTCACAGTACAGGAGCCCGTAAACGCATTGAATGCAGACGTGGCGCCGAGATAAATCAAGCCCAGAAGCCCAATGATGACCGTAGAGACAATCAAACTATTGAGTGGGACGATGAGCCGCGGGTCTACCCTTCTCAGCCAACGGCTTCCCGGCAGTCCTGCGAATGACGAAGATGCGTCGCGCCAAGCCAGCGTTAGTCGAGTCAAAGGCGTGGATGCGACGCTTGAGCATCGCGTGAAACCTTACCTCCATCTCGAGAAAAAGCCCAAATGCATCTGAAAGCAACTGTGAAGGATGAGATGCTCGCGAACAAGCCGATGCCAAGGACGAGGAACAAGAGGCCAAATGCACCACCTGCAGTGCCAGTAGCTTGGGCAAAGACGTAAGGGACCAGTCCTGAGGCCGCCTCCAAAGCCGCCTCGAGTTCAGAGGGCGAAGGGAACACAAACGTCAAAGGCAGAATGAACGCCAAGCCATTCAGAGACGCGACGACCACGGATCCAAGCATCGCTCGTGGCACAGCTCGCTCGGGCTGTCGCACTTCTTCACACAAATTTGATATGGTTCCATAACCTAAGAAGTCGCAGAGAGAGGCCGATCAGTGGAGTTCGAAGCGCGAACGGTCCATGCAGCTCACCTGTCAGCACGTATGCGGGTGTGAGCAGCCCCACAAACCAGGACCATCCGTCCGGCCAACCAGAGGTGTTGTTCCACTGTACAAACACATCCGACGCGCTCCTTTTTACATCCGACATCGCCAAGGTTGTGACGAGGATAATGAGTGAGGCGCCAGCAGTCCACCAGATGCTAGCAACGTTGATGGGCTCAAGCGACTTGCTCTTGACTCCGAAAGCGTTCACTGCCGCAGCGACGAGTAGTACTGCCCAAAAGCAGAGAATCGTCTGCCAAGCTTCAGGAGTCCAATTCTGATCCCTAAACAGCGAAATCGCAGCCATGATGAGCTGCGCTTCTCCGAAAGCGATGGACAAGCAAAGAAGAATGTTAGCGATGCAGCTGAGCCAGCCAACGATGTAGGAAGCGATGATGGCCGACTGCTTGCTGGGCGCCAAATGAGCGGTCCAGACGCTTTAAAATAGAAGACTTGATCAGTGACAAAGTGAAACGACACCAAGTAGTCCAGACTACTGCTCACTAGACTCCTCCAGACGTAGGATAAAGGCTACAAATCTCTCCGAGAGAAGCAGCGATAGCAAGGGAAACAATTGATAAGAAAATCCAACCCCTAGACACGCAGAGGCGAGGGTGTCGTCAGTACTGGAGGCCTTGCACAAGCATTGTCCTGATGCTACTAGTGCTCACCACACATAGCTAGCAGCTCCTCCATTCACGAGCGCAAAGCTCGCGGATGTGGTGAGACCGAATGGCGCTGCGATGATGCTGGCCCCCATGCCTAGCACCGCTATGGTGGAAAGATTGCGACGCATCTCGGGCGCGTAGCCTAATGCTTCTAGCCTCGTGTCCGCGTCCGCACTTTCGCCTTCTTCCACCGCTTCCTCGACCTTCTTGTTGTCATCCTTGATCTCCTTCTCTTGCAAAGTGCTCGACATTCTTAGTGTACCTTGCTCTGTATGATCTCTTGTTGCCTTGCGCCGGGAGGAGAGAGAAGCGTGCTCCGTTCCCGGACGGAGGGGATGCGGATGCGAGCGGCCTCCAGTTGAACGAGCTTCAGGATGGACTCCAACCAAGTTGGAGCACAAATTTGCAGGCTAATATGATGGTCGAGGGGAGGAAGGCCTCCTCTGGCAAATCTACTTCCAATCTATATACAACGAGCGCTGGACAAGTTCCGCGATAGGTGTGGGAACCGGACTCGCCTGCCTGAGGCGCCAAGGCGCTTATCTCGCAGTTCCTGCAGCTGCGTGTGCGCGCGTGAGCATCAGGCAGCCGCGTCCCCCGCGCGCGCAACGCATGCAGGCATCAGCGCAGCTTCAGGAATTATAAGCGCGGGATGGCCCGCGGCTATAAACCCACGATTTCGAGCCGCGCCGTGTAGGCTTGGTCCCCCGCACGGAAGCAGCGCCTATATATAGCTGTGCGAGATTCACGCCATGCTTGCCCTCTATCAGGCAACTGAATCATGACTTCCATCCATCATCCCCTCTCCTGTCAGAGGACTCTCTCTGGCCTCTGTGCGCCAGCATCAGCGCTGCACTGACCGTCAACTGCAGTGCCATCAGCCCACCGACCCGCTTCAAGGCCTGGCCTGCAAAGACGCGCTAGAAAAACGTTGACCTTCAACACGCGCAAGTCTGGCGGGTCAAGGAAAGCGAATCGCCAATGGAAGAAGCCTTCATAGCTCCGTCTGTATGCTACCAAGCCTCCTGAAAGCCCTTGTCTAGCGTCTGTGCTCCAGTGCTGGAGATGAGCAGCATTCAAACACAAGCCAAGACTCATAAGCCTGCCCGTGGAGGCGGCGAGTAAGTGTTGTGCACGCCCGGTATAGTTTTATCGACTTGAAGTGGGGTTCGTGCTGCGAAGATGCTGTTCGGCACGAAATCGGTATTCTTGACACTGCTCTTGGTGCTATCACCGTCGAGCATACATCCCACTTTCGCGTTGTGGGGCCAGACTGCAGCATCATCGGCGACTCAAGCTACCCACGACGTTCAACAAGGTGACACTCCGCTTCGGAGCGGAGGAATGTTGCATTCCCAAGCTTCTACAGACGACAATCACATCAATCAAAATGCAGCATTTCCAAGTGAGCATCGTCACGCATGACAACCGCATACATGCTGGAATGTCGTGTATCAGAGCTCACATTTTGGCCATCAGATGCCGCGCAACTCGACCTGCCAGCCTCAATGTACTCTGCCGTCTTCTCTCGTGCGCACGTAGCCCTCCAAGAGTACGAAAAAAATCCGGACTGCCTCTTGGATGCAGCGTCGCCATCGCACTGCAATGACATCAAAGACAGACAAGGCGCACGAACGCGAGGTGCGTGACTGAGCGTCTTGCATGGGGCCGAAGTCACTCTTTTGCCGCCGATTGTCTTAGACCTCTCATCCAATACAGCTGCCATCGCCATGACTCTATGTGAAATCTCTACCGCAAGATTGTCCGTCCCTTTGGAGTGCACACGGCTTGCCGAGCACTCTGAGCCGTCAGCTTGTGTAGAGTGAGTATCAGTACCGCTCCGCACAGTTCTGCGGTACTTGGGAAGAACCACCCTGACAACCACTCACTGTCTGTCGTAGAGCCTTGTCAAGAAGCCCCCAGCTATGGGCCAGCTACAGTGGTCACTTGCGCGACATCGTCACGTTGTGTCTTGCATTTGGCCAGTTGCGTGAAGTTGGTCAGTCGCGGCGCATGCATCCTCTGCGGTGCGGTCTGCTAATAAGCTCGCCTCTTTGGGCAGACGAAGCGCGACAGCTGTACGCAAGCCTGGCCCGTGAGAAGAAGGCGCTACTGGAACTGTTGAAGGCCCGCGAAGCAAGCACGAAGCAATTCGAGCAGCAAGCGCGTGCTCGCATGAACGAAGAAGCGCAAGCCCGTGATAAAGCTGCCACGGACGCTCTCCATGAGGCTGCTTTGAAAGTGAGCAACGCCTTGGGGCGCTGAATCATTTCAAAAGTTCTAACAGCACGCTATCCGTTTTCAGCATCATTCCCTCGTCGAGGCCCAGCTCAATTCTGTATCAGCAGAGCTGCTAAACTTGATGCATGGAGCGGTCGACTTCCACGTAGCAGAGCTGACAACCAAAGCGAAAGCGCATGTGGCATCGATACTTCGTTCAACAGAGCAGCTAAAGGGTTCACTTTCCGCAAGCATCGAGATGAATCAGAAGTCCTATGAATACGGCCTCAAAGCAATGGGACGCCTCCGCGTTGCTTCAAGCGACGCGGGCCACGCCATCGAATCGCTGCGCTCAAGCATCGAGGCTGCTGCGGAGAGCCATCAACACAGGAAAGCTCTCTCTGCAGTGGCGGAGACGGAACACGAGGCTCACGTCAAGCGACTCGGCGAGGGCCTCGCGAGGCTCAGCGAGAACTTGCTGGCGCAGCTAGCCATCGTGAACGCGACCGCTCGCGCTACCGAAGGGTATTCCTGGCAATCCTTGGCTTTGCGACTGATCGGACTGCCAGACATTGGCGCCCCAAGCTTCTGGAACCGCCGAGGCGGTCTCGAGCAGCTCGTTGACACTCTGTCTCCAGGTGAGCACCTTTGGTGCGCATCTACAGCTCGTGTGCTCCTAGTCTCTGACCAATTTGATGTCCCGCCCAGCCTCCTTCGTGGAATCATTCATGCCTTCGGGCATCGCTACCACCATCGCCTTTTCAGCGCGCGGCTTGGCTTTTATTACGCTGCTCCTGTTCCAAGCAGCGTACTACTGTGCTCGTCATTTGGTGGTGCGTTTCAGTAGAGACTCTTGCGGTGCTCTGAGTCGCGGCTCATATCGTTTTGACTCGGCTGGCATCTTTAGGGACTAGCTTTGTGTCTGATCGCTCTCTCATCAAAGGCAGCGCGACCACTGCTGGCTCGTATTGGGTCGCGTATGGTGCGACATGCACAGGACATCGAGCAAGCTTCTACCTCGAATCCATCGCGACGCAAGACGTCAAGAATCACGGAAATACGTCCAACTCGTGTCGCTAATTGTCAACGAGAACAAAGGATCCTACAGTTCCTCTTGAATTCACCAATTCACCTCACAGCCCCTGACGTCCCAGGAGGGCCGAAGCCACCTCACCCGCTGGCACACAGCCAATCGCCAAGCAGCTCCTCCGCTGCACCTCTCTTTTCTCGCAACCTACCCGTGCCACCACCATCTCCCTCGTCACGCGCCAGCTCGGTTACAGCCACGGAAGACTAGACATCACTCAGCCTTAATGTAGTCCAGAGTCACTCATCAGCCGTCAGATCGCCCCTACGTCGCCCGCGCATTCAGCATCGCCTCTCTTCAAGCAGTCTCATCAAAAGCGACAACACCCGCCTTCTTGGGTCATCATGTAACCTAGAGCATCCTTTCACAATTGTATTCGGTAACCCCCGCAATCTCGTTTGCCTTCCGACATGCAACTTCCCACGTCATCTGGCCTCCAAGCGTAAGCGGCACGATAATTTTCGATGCGTTCAAATTCGTGCAGAGCTCGAACGATTGCCGAGCTAGCCGCTTTAGTTCGTGGATCTACCACGAATGACAGCCGTCGCCTCCGCGTATGACAGCATGAGCTGACCAATGCCGTGTTCTGGCCGATCGTCTCTCACCGAAAGTCTTGGCTTTCTGGTACCACGCGGATAGTGCCGTGCACCACTCGTTTCTCAAGAGGCTGTTCATCGAAGCCAGGGCTGGCAATATCGGTCAGCGTTGACAAGTTTGACTTTGCAATCACACTGCGAGAACACGGCCATGAAGAGTGGTGGCAACCAGAAGCTGGTGCCAAGCTTCTGCTCAAACCCACACCTCTTTGCTTACAGCGAGCTCCATCCTTCCCACGCGAGCCTGCGTGTCGTATGTGTATAGTAGTCCATCCAGTATGCAGGTGCAGCATTCTGTAAGGCGGGCAAGCACTGCTCTGCGCAGATAAGCGTATCAATCCTTTTCAACCCTCCAGGCGAAGGCCAGTGCTTTATATTCCTCAGTGTCCTGGTGGCTTGATTGATTCTGTCAACGCCAGCGTTTCGCGAGCGAAATTGGAGACGCTATGGGTGCACACCTTACGCGTGGTCACTAGCACGCGAATATTGAGACAGGTCATTGATTTGCGAGCATTGAAGTGCCACAGACTTAGGAAGAAGAGAGGGGAGAAACGTGCGTGCATAGGGACATTCGTGCTACTTTTGACAGTTCGTCGATTCTACCGAGAAGCACCGTGACGGGATAAAGTCGATGGACGGTCTCTGTTGCTAGAACTTGGGTGGCACCTGCTTGAGGGTTCCGGAGGTGATTGGATTGAGGATTCTTGTATAGTGGCATTGAGTCAGTCGGAAGAGTTTGAACCACATTTTGATGCGGACCGTAGTCCATACAGCGTCGTAGCAACGAGACACAGGTGACGGCACGTGAAGCGAGCAGAGTGTGCGCGGCTGGAGCTGGTCGGTCGAAGGCCTCAGAGCGACGAAGCAGTCCTATCAGGCTCTTGCAGCACCCACCTCGCCGGCTCGATCACCTTCGCTGTCTCCGTTGATCCGATGTACAGCATATTGCTGGTTGCTGTTGTTGTAGGAATGGGCGCGCCCATCAGGCTGGCCATCCGTCTGGGTCTGTTGAGTCAGATCCGCACGCATATGCCGCAACATAAGCTCGATCTCGCGAGGAGCATTTTGTGGTAGGACGAAGCGCGGATTACGCAGCAGCTCGAACGCCGTCATCAACAGTCCCCACGGATGAGGTCGCGCTGCGACCATCCTCTCGATCAAGACGCGGGCGATCTGCTCTTGAACCGTAACATCAGTCTCTGTGGTCTCACCGTAAAGGTGCAGCAATAGGCAACTGAAGTAGGCAGTGTGCCTATTCGGATAGCGCAGCTGATTAGCGGCGGCAGTCAGCACCAAGTAACGGCCCTCAGCGTCCGCATCGGCCATGAGGTGTCTAAAGATGACGAGGCCGACATCCGTTCGAGGCTGGCTGTTGAGAAGACCATCTTGAGCTGCTGCTGCCGCTATTCCCACATGAAGTACGAAGGCGTTGATCAACTCATAATCGTAACGCAACTCGCCCTTGCTGTAATCGACCGGCTCCGAGTTGGCCACAGGAGAGAACAGAGCCGTCTTCAAGCTAGACAAGAAGGAGGCAGGAGCTCGTTGGCCGAGATATGAATCCAAAGCACTCTTGAAGCCTCGAGACTGGCCCTCCAAGCTATGCGTGTAACCGCGAGGGATGATCGGCAAGATTGCCGCCTCGGGAAGTCGATCAATGGTCACGCTTGCAGTGAATGGATCTGGAAGACGTTCTCGGCGTGGCGGATAGGCTGCGAGTACGACGTTGCGCAGCTGCACACACGAGATGGGGATTCCGTCGCAAAGCGCCTGATGATGGGTGCTCAGGAAGTCCGGGAAGTCGTGTAGGAGCACCAAGGTGATGCGCAACAAGCCGCGGTACAGCTCGCGAGACGTGTCTTGCAATACTGCTGTGCGGATGAAGGGCGCAGCGAAGTGCAAGAGACTGCTGTAGAGTCGCAGAAATGCGGCTTGAGCTTCGGAGTGCAGCGTGACTCTGGACGCGTCGCGCTCCAGAGGCACGCCCAGCAGCTTCGGCATGAACAATCTGTGGGACGTGAGCGCCATCCACGAGAAGGTGAAGCCTGGGAAGAACGACGGCTGCAGCGTGTTCAAAGTGTTCGCGATGGCCAGCAGTGCTCTCATGTACGTGTTGCCGAGCGAGGAGGAAGCGGCATGGAAATCGTGCAAAAGACTGCTGAAGAGACGGAAGAATGGCTTCTGTTGAAAGTGCGCGCCAAGCTCCTCGTGCGATTGGGCCAAGACCAAGACGATGATTGACAGAATTTTGGTCAAGTAATGCGCTCTGGCCTGCTCGTTATCCGTACCACTAGGATCTGAGTGATGCTTGATCAGCAAAACTACAAGCTTCGAAAAAGCGTCGATCGGCGAGAAGATGCCTGTTCCGAAGGTGCCGCCCAACGCCTTTTGCTTGATGTAGCTGTCGACCCCGACTTCCGTACACACCCTGTAGAACATGGAGGAGATATCTTCTCCTTTGAGGATGCCTTGTTGCTGCAATTGAGTGACGAAGTTGACGAATACTTTCTCCGGGTTTGGTGACTGCTGGAAGAGACGTACCCATTCCGCAAAGCAGTAAGCGAGCTGTTCGCGTAAAGCAGAATTGGTGACGTCGGTCTGAGCTTTGGTCAGACGCCCAGTCTCGATTTCTGAAAGCAAGAATGCGCTCGCTTCTGTTGACTTGCCGAGGCGGTCAGCCTGCGCGAGAGCGTCCAACGAATGCATGAGCTGACCGCGGGTGGCGCATGCTGGCTCCTTGAGGCACTCAAGCGCAAGGCGAGCAGAGAAATCCACCACGCTAGACTTGAAGTCCCGCAGAATCAACTTGGCCAGCTGTTGGTCGTGCTCGACAATGTTGACAATGCCAGTCCGAATCAGTGTGGCGGCGACCGGAACGTTGAACTTGCGTTCGTCCTCTGCGTAGATAATCCACTGCGTCACTTCCTTCGCCACGCGTGCAGACAGCTCGCACAGACGCTCCAGGAGCAAGACGTGCGCCTCGCGAGCAAGTCGGCTTTCCGACTTGTACAGTAGCTGGACCACCTTGTGCGAGAATGCGAAGGCGGTCGCGTCGCGGCTAGTGGACGCAGCGGCTAGGATGGGCACCTGGCGGATGATGTTGCGCAAGCCGTCGTCCGGCGGCAAAGAGGCAAGCGTTGCTGCAGGAGACGCCTGTTGAAGAAGCCTTTCAAGCTCCGACAGGAGGTGGTTGAAGCGCTCCAGGCTCTGTTGGGGCGATAGGCTGCCCGCGACGAGCTGCCCAGGTCCGACACTTGATTGTGGCGACACTCCGTTACCTTCTGCGGAAGGCTGATCGCGTTCGGCCGGTGCGTCAGGGGACGAGATCCCACTTGTCTTGCCAAAGTCATCATACACTCGAAGCTGTTCAGGCAGAAGACCTTCGGGCTTCAGGCGCAGGTAATCGGGCAGCGTGGCGACGTATTGAGAGGTGGTCAAGGCCTGACTATCCCAGTAGTAGCCCCTGCTGCGCGCGCGATGGTCGCGCCTGGCAGCGTACGCGCCATCCAGCCCGCTGTCGACCTCTGGCAAAGCTTTGTCCATGGCTGCGCGCTCCACAATCGAGCAGGCGAGTTCCAAATTGTCGCCCATGACAGACGTGAGAACGGATTCTGGCAGCGCTTGCTCTGTGACACCGCTCTGGGCGAGCAAGGAACGGGCTTGAGTGACCATGCTAATGCGAAGCGGCTCTTTGCAGGTGACCAGAGCGAGACTTCCTGCTAGATTCTGCGACATCTGGTGGGCAGCTTTGCGCATTTTCTCCTCATCGCCTTCCATTGCGAAATCCTTGAGCACCAACTCCCGCGAAGAAATCGATGCTATGGTGACTGAGCGCTCTACCACGGGAGCAGTGATCTCTCGGATGGCACGCTCGATAGCGACATGGATGATCTGCTTCAGAGCTGGGCTAGAGGACACCTCGGAAAGCTGTGGGCTGAAGACAAGGTACGCTGACAAATTCTGCAGCGTGAGCTCCAACGACTCTGAGTACGATTGGGCACCAGCAGCAGGAGCCTGTTGGGGCTCGCGTTGCGCTTGAGCATGTTGTTGAGGCTGCTGCAGCTGCTGTTGCTGCTGCTGTTGCAGAAGAGCGTGCTGTTGATGGTGCTGAGAAATCTGTTGCTGCTGTTGCTGCGACGCGAGGGTTGCAACTCTGCTGCGCTGAGCATCGTTTGGCATTGTGCGCATGCCGCCTGGGCCATACGTGCCAGCATTTGCCATCGACAAGCGGTCGAAGTCCTGAGCAAGCTGCTGGGCTCCCTGCTGCTGTCCTTGGTGAGGATGCATATGCTGGGGCTGAGCCAAACGTTGCTGCTGCTGGGCGTATTGCAGCTGCTGTTGGTTAGGCTGCTGGCCATATGGGCCTTGCTGCAGCTGATGAGGCTGCTGCTGGCGCGCGGCAAACTGCTGTTGCTGCTGAAGATGCTGCTGATCGCGTTGCTGCTGAAGGCGCTGCTGCTCGAGCATGTGTTGTTGCTGTTCCATTTCAAGCTGCGCAGCGGCAGCGAGCTCATCTGGTCGAGTTCGAAGCGTCGTCGTCGATTCCAGCTTCGTAAGGTCAATAGACAACGTCTTGCAAAGGACCTCGATCTCGAATTTGAGATTTAGTTTGAGTTCAGCGAAATGGTAGAGCTCGGCAAGCAGCTTGAGCACAGACATCAGCCAAGGATTCGGCGGCACGAACACTTTGGATCGAGGACACTGTTCCAGCAATTTGCAAACAAAAGGAATTGCCACGATGAGACGGTTGCTGTCGTAGCCCTGGATGAGCAAGTCTTTGAAAGCAATGTTACGGTGACGAATCGGCTTATTGCGAGCCAGCGTCAGACCTCCCAGCCACGAGGCGAGGTTCTTGAGCAAGGTACGTTCGGTCGTGGACGAGACGGTCTTGTCCGAATTGAGTAGTACCTCAACTTTGGACAGTGTCTCGTGCAGAATGTGGCGGAGGAGCGTTGCAGCGGAATCCAAGCCATCGATGAATTGCGTGTACAGCTCGTGGTTGTTCGGCTCGATGCTCACCCGCTGCAGCACCAGGTACGCAGAGAGCCAGTGATGCAGCGCTGGCTTCACCAATCGCCTCGCCTCGACCAGCTTCGACTCGATGTTGCTGGGCGAGAGATTGTTGATGATGAACAAAATCTTGTCGGAGACCTCCTCCGTTGGTTCCTCCTGAACATCTGCGTCAGGCATCGGGTCGGCATGCACTGCGGTGAAAGACAACTTTGGCGTTTCGCCTGGCATTTCGGGCAAGACCGGCTCTGACGTGCTCTGTGAAAGATCTGCAAGCTGACCGGACTGAATGGTGCGCAAGACGCGCTCGATCTCAGGATGCGCCTGTTGCGGAGCAGGCAGTCCCAACAGCGCCTGTCCGAGTTGTGGCCACTCCGCGAGGCGCTCGCGAAAGCGAAGCAAGGCTTGCAGTCCAAATTGGAACATGCTCGACTGGATGGGCTCTCGAAGCGCATCCAGCACGTAGCGAATGGCGATGCCTAGCGGTATGTAATCGATCAGCTGGTGCTGAATCAAGGATCCGAACACGACCGCCGTCATGGCAAGCTCGCGGGGTGGGTAGTACAGGTCGAACCACCTATACTCGTCGAACAGGGTGTGCACCATGCAGGCGAAGACCTGATGATCGCGCGCGTCACTGGAAGCCTTCGTTCGCTGCAGAAGGGACACGAGATCCTCGATCCCGATTTCGTCTTCATACATCTTGCGGTACCAGCTGTCGGCCTGCCAGCAAAAAGGCAGCAAGCATGGAGGTCTTCGAGTCAGATTGACATACAGGCAGACGTCCAGGCGAGGGGATGGTACTCACCTCATCATGGATGTCCTGAGCGAAAGTCGTCACTTGCAGCCCGGGCTCTAGCGACTCGCTCCCAGGGGCAAGATTCATCAGCCGGGGGTAGACTTGCAAGCACAGGTTGCGCACCGTCTTGAACAGCGCGACGTCTTCAGCGCTCATCGTATCTCCATTCTGTCGCATGACGCGCAAGAACGTGGCGACAGTCTGAACTGTGAGTGGCATGTACTGCTGCTCGGCTTGAGGATCCTTCTTTGCCAGATCGTCCTTTGCTTTGGAGTCAACGAATTGCAAAGCAGCTTGAACGAAGGCGCTCCCATTCTCTGTAATTTGATCTTGCAACCACTTGTCCAAGTTCAAGTACTCCCGACGGGAAGCCAGTGCTGCGACATCAAGCGCAAATTGAAAGGGCCTAATGGCTAAAAGTGCTTCAAGAATCTTGAGGTCCTGAGCCACGTCTAGCAAGCGCGTGACGTTCATGGGGTTCTCGCTGTAGTAGGTCCTAAACGCGTTCAGAAGATAAGTCCTGTTGGTCTGCCACAATCGTGAGAAGACAAGCTGGTGACTGGGGTGCCCAGAGAGGAACATCGACAGCAACTTTGAAGCCAGGTCCGAATGCATCGAGGTCCACGGTTGCTGTTGGGCGTCGATTGGCCTCAAATGTGTCAATTTTGCTGCATTGCTCGAGGTGTCCATCTCCACACACACGAACTCACAGGGATCTGGACCAACGCCATGAGGACTAATTCCGCACTAGTCTTGACTGCCTTTTCCAACAGCTCCGTCACTGCGTGTCTGACCTCAGTATCATCCGTGTTGGCTATCAGCGTGAGCGTTTCCACTAAATCGAGCGAGTTCCAAGTGTTGCCTTGAACTTGCTGGGCCAGGCTCCGCACCGTCGCGTTTACGTTCGTTACATCTTCTTCGCGAACCACCCTTCGACCCGGAAGCGAGGCGAACGAAAACAGCTGAATGTCCAGAGAGACTAGACCGCTCAAAATTTGAAGTTGGCGCAGACGGTGGATCCAAGCGCCCCACAGGCCCAACACAGCCGGCGCTTGAGGGTCATTGGAAGCGGAATTGAGGAAGGAAGCGAACCCTCGCCAGTCGTTGCGGGGTGAGAAGGCGAGAGATGGAGCCTCATCCAAAGAGCGGACTACTCGCGACCAATTGAGAGATCGGGTAAAGGATCGCAAAGCTGATGCGACGATGGCAAAATCGGTCGCTGGAGCTCCGCCGAGCTCCTCGGGTTGCACGACGAGTAGCCCTGCCAAGATCTCTGCCACCGTCCTCTCATCCACTGGGGAGGCGTCGACGCGGAAGCGCGATAGGATTGCGCGCGCGACTTCAACTTTGGGAACTCCTGCAGGTCCAACATCAGCGAGAAAGCTGGCGACAGAGCGCGATGAACGAAGTCTGGCAAGTCAGGACGTTGGAGGGCAGGCACGAGAAGAGATGCAATCAGTGAAAAGACACGATCACGACGAGAACGAGAAGCCGAAAGCGTACGACTCACCTCAAGTCTGGCAGTGCTTGCATCACGGCATCAATCAAGACGTCTGGGGATATTCGCTCTGCAACTGCTCGAATGAGAGCGCGCTGATGAGGGCGCTCCAGCACGGAAGGTGTATCCTCCGATTGATCAGAGAGAGCGAGGACGAGCGTAGCGGCCAGTCGTCCGGACGTCAAGTCGCTGGGGTTACCCAAGCTGCTCAAGGTCTGGTCCAAGATGGCGACAGGCGATGGGGAAGGTCGCCTGCCGTCCGCATTGGACAGGCCTGGCAGCCCATCATTCATCCTGTTCAAACCCGCAGCAATGAGCGGAGCACCTGCACCGCTCGCTGCTTGCTCTGCGCTCGCTGAGATACCAAGTCGAAGTGCCGGAGAATGCGATGCGGCTGCTGGATGAGCCGGAAGTGACCGCAGCTCCTCGATGAGATTTTGGAGCAGAGTTGGTGACAGATGGTCAACTACACTGGCCTTGCCACGATCGTGTCCCAGCTGCTCCAACACAAAGTTGCTGAGCCAGGTTCCCGAACGTTGACAGATCTGGCCATGAAAGAGGCGTGCGGCGGCATGGCCAGCGTCAGCGATGAGCCGTGTATCACTTTCCCCATCTCTTTCGACTCACCTCTACAATCTCCACAGAACGTGCTGCAAAGGTGTAGCTGTCTGCAGTCGCGAGCAGGAATAGCACGTGAGTCTTGATGACCTGTGCCAGCTCTTCGTCCGTGGTCCGCTTGCTGGGTGCTGCACTCCAAAGCGCACCAGCCCTAGCGTCGGCTGCGCCAAAGGCAGACGTCGTTGTGAATATGGAAACGAGGTGTCGGACGGTATCGTCGACCGAGCCTCTTCATTCACGACTGTCGATTCCAAGAGACCGAGGTGATCGTCACCTCTCGCCCGGAGCGCGGCCGAGACTCTGACAAACGCGATTTCGTAAGTTGTGTCGAGCGTCGCTGTTTCGCTGGTGCGATCGAGGTGCTGAAGACCGCCGCCACAAAGATCCCTCTTTGCAGTGCAGCTCACGCTCTATCGCCCTGGTTGCCGACGAGCAAGCTCGCGACCCTAGGGTCGTGGTTTCGTATAGTAGAGTAATGCGTCTATGCAGTCGATGCGCCGGCGAGTCGATGCGCAGCGGAACGCTCTCGTTGGTCTAGCGGAAGTGGGGGAATGATGAAGAGGGAAAACATTTACAACAAGGAGAGGAGCGATGCGTGAGCACGTGTCGAGTCGACAAGGAGCCGAGGCGCGTCTCGATGACCGCGTCACGAAAGATGCGATGTGAGTTGGAAGACGACCAGAGCTCAAAAGCAATCACGACGATGACGATGATGACTCCTTCGAGCTCTGCGCTTGGGGGTGTTGCGCACGTAGTGAGTTCGTTGTTCGATGCCTGCTTGCTTGCTCGATCCCACCTGATGCTGCGATGTTGTGGAATCAGAGTTTCGTGAGCGTCGAGCTAATAATTGACCTGAGCGCAGCGCAGCGGCTCATTTCCTGCTTTCGAAGCGGGCGCGGCCTTCATGATATCCAGCAGCAGCGTCAACGGCGCGACGATGAGCAAGTCGGTCGAGCAGCAGCAGCAGCAGCAGCAGTGTGACGGATGAGGACGCGTACGGGCCGCTCGCTCGCTCGCTCGCCCGCCCGCCGCATGCGCCCCGAGCTTCGAGGAGCTCCTACCGCACGAGAAATCCATCCTCCAAGGCTGCAGCAGAATACTCTCGACTGAAAGCTCAACTTCACGTGGCCTCGCTCCCGCCTTCAACCTCCGCGGCGGCACACGCACTTGACTCAAGGCTCGTCAGACCTTTGAAACTCGCCCCCATCAGACTCAACTCTCCTGGCCCGGCAGAGCCACATCCGAGAGTGTGGCTCGTAGGGGACCTGGTCGACCATAAACTTGTCTAATTGCTACAAAGGGGCGGCGATATACATTGCGTCCAACAACGATGACGGGGTATCGCGGTGCAAAGGGGCTATAGGAGTTAGCGAAAGAGGAGACCTTCCTCCCTAGCCGGAGCAGTTGTCCACATGTCTGGCCAGTCCTACAGTCAGACGAAGAAATCAGGGTAACAGGGGTAACTTGCGTATTCGAGAAGAGCTGCGCAGGGGTAGATGAACTCGCAATGGCGAGCCAACGAGTCAGAACGTATCATGAGCGATTTTGGAGTTTGGATTCCTTTCTCTCTCTTTTTTTGGTTTATCGGAGTTTCGATGAGTCCGTGAAAATTGGACCAGCTGCTTTTCGACCAGAGACTTGATGGCGGAGGGGCACTGCTTTGGCAAAGGAGCTCAGAGGGTCGCAAAGGCTGCAAGCATGGAGACGCAGAGACATGTCGCGACCGAGGCCAGGATAGGGCTAGACAGCCTGGCCACGGCAGCATCCGAGTGGTCGCCGGTAGGAGTCGGCGTAAATGTGCCGGCTCTATCCGTGGAGCTGGCATAGGCACTGGCAAGACTAGCACTAACGGAAGAAGCGACCGCTTCTACAGTGGCGGTAGGTACTGTCGAAGTGGCGCTCACCGATACGTTGGTGGGTGGCGCTCCCTCTACAATGTAGTAAGTCGCAGCAATGATGGAACCGAGTCGAGAGTAATTCAAGTACTGCTCCACCTGGAATCCTCGAGCGAGCGGCATCACTGCAGAGAAGTTGGCAGGTGCGACCCAGCCTTTGGGCTGCTCAACGACCAGCTGCGCATATCGGTGAGGTCCTGAGCCGGCCGGAGGATTTGGCGCATTGTAGCTAGTGATGGCTTGTCCCGTGCGCATCAAAGTGCCGCTCATACCCTGCCAGCAAACGAGGATGGATCGTGTCAGCAGAGATGCGCCTGAGATGCGCGGGGATGCATGGCGCACACTTACAACCAGAGAGTTGTTGTTAGCAAGGTAATGGCGGACCTGGCCTCCATCCGGAAAGCCTACTCCAGGGGCTCCAAAGTCGACCATGACAGTGGTATACAGACCGCTCGCAAAAGGATCAGCATCGTCCACAGCCTCGGTGTAGTTCAGCGTCCAGGAAGGCTCCTGCAGTGTCGCGTTTCTCGTAGTCGTTGCGCCGAGAGCCACATCGCCCGTGTCGGGGTACTTTAGGCTCAGAATGCTGGATAGCTGAAATCTTTCCTCTGGGATGGATTGTGGAACAATGCCGGCCGCGCGGAATTGGAGCAACACAGAGGCGAGCTCGGTGTTGACCTCGGTAGAGTTGAGCACATTGCTCGTGGCAGCGGCTGAGTTGTTCTGAGCTGAGACCGGCGAGGTCAAACAGGTGGCGAGCAAGGCCGCGGTGACGCAAGCACTCCTGAACTGCATTTTTGCGATTGGCACAGGATAGGAGCACTGAGAATTTAGTGGGTCGAGGTGGGGCACAGGGTATCTATGGTGTCAGTGTGGTATATAAGGTGATGATGGTGATGGTGGCAATCGACGCCGCGGCGGGGAACTGTAACGCTCTTTATGAATCTCTGGGCTCTGCCCGAGAGAGAAGACGTTTCTGCTGTGGGCCCTGCAGCATGATCCCAATCAGCATCGTGAACGTAGGCTGTCTCAATGCAGGAGCCTCCACACCCTGACGAGGAATTTACCTTCACGCGGCTTTCACGCCGGGCACTCGTTAATGCCGATTCAGAGTCAAGTCCAGTGGAGTCGAGCCGAGCCGAGCAAAATTTTGATGGGATCGAGGTCCGACGCGGGTTTCGAGCGAGCAAGCAAGCAACACATCAGAGACATGCAAGTCGCGTCGAACCCAGGCCGCATAGAGTCGATCGAACCACTTTATATGCGCATGCGCGCGCAAGACACACGAGCATACAGCTCGCTCGACCATCAGCAGCGCGCACAGCCACCACCAACCGCGCTCTTGCAGCATCAGCAGCAGCAGCAGCAGCAGCAGCAGCAACTTTCTTCGCACTTCGTCGATCCGTGTCGATCTCTGCTGCATAATTCTGCAAGGGATGCCTGCGCGCGCGTACCTTCTCATCGAGGGTCCATCGAGTAGCCCTCTTTCTTTGCATGAATCTTGCTTGCTCCTCGATCGAGCGCTCGGCGGCTCGAGTCGTCGCCATGTCGCCGCTGTGGAGGCTCGCCCCTCGACCAAAAATTCGAATTTGATCAACTGACTTTTTTCTTCTCTTTTTTGTTCCGCCCAGCTCAGCTCTTTTCGAAGGGACCTACCTGCCTGGTGTGATTGACACGGAAGCTAGAGACGATGCAAGTCCTCACCGCCGAAAGCTTGCCGGCTGACGGCTACGAGTGGCTTTCAAAGCGATTGGTGCGCTTCCGCAGCTCGCCAAGCATCGCGCAGGCCGAGATCGACAACGTGCAGCGCTCACACGCCTGTCCCGCTTGCGCCTCTCCTCGACAAGTCGTAGCGTTCCTTTAAAGAGGCTCCGTGAGCTGAGATCGCACCACAAAAGTCAGGTATGGGCGGCAGCTCTCAGCAATGGTGGCACTTCACGAAAACTTAAGGCAATCCGGACTTTGCTCGACGGAGCTCTCTGCGCAGTTTCGCGGCGTGCGTGCTGACAAGCTGTCATTGTCCCTGCGGTATCGGTACATGTTCAATTCGAGAATCCAAACGCGCGAGATGCGGGTTTTGGATCCGCTGGATCAGCTATCGTAGAGGGCCGAGGAGAGCGTCCGTGGTGTTGGAGCGGCAAGCCTTGAGGAATGAGACGAGATCCGTGCCTCCCGTGCCCTTGGGTGCGCCGGGGGCTTCCTTGGCGTCGCTCTGCTGCGCGCCGGCAACCCTTTCGACCTCTGCGCGCCCCGTGAAATTCTTCGGCAAAGGAGCATACTCGGGCGGGGGCTGTTTGCGGGCTTGGCTGATAATGTAAAGCGCTGCGATGCGCATATGCTCGTCCCGTAGAACCCTCAACGAGATCAGAGCAGCGTCGTACGCGCTTGCGAGATCGTCTTGAAACGGCTTGCCTGAGACCTCCTTGGCAATCGCCAAAGAACGGATGGGGTGCGACGGAGGCGGTGGCACATTATCCACGTCCATATCGTCCGATGACGATGAAGCACTGTCGCTTGGCGGGCTCGTCGACGGTGAGGCACCCTCAAGCCCATTCAAACGGCAGAAAGTCTCATGATCATCGTCGAACGAGAGATTGCGGAGGTGCGTCAGGAATGCGCGATGAGGTCCAGGCATGTACATCTGCATCTTCTCCATAAAGGTTGCGTTTTCTTTTATGCCAGCGTCCCTCTCACTCAGCGCGTGCGCCACGTCAGGCTGTTGTCTGGCGCTGTGCGCAGCTCCGCGAGGCTTGAGACGTGTGTGGTCGACGTCGAGGAAGACGTCGAGGGCGTGGATGAGAGAGGATTGACCTGCGCTCGGTCCGTTGAGCAGCCTTTTCTGACCCGGCTCATCCACGCCTTCGTAGATCCACCCTTGACCTCCACGGGGTGCAGAATCTCCCCCTCTAAACCAGGGCCGGATGCCCCAGTAAAAGGTGACGGGATCGCAGGCTTCTTTCATCTTGGCGAGAAGGGTCGTAAGGTCATGGACAACGGCGACTAGCCGACTCAGGTAGTGCGCGATACGTCGTCGGGCGAGATGATCGGCAACGAATGCTTCGTCGAGAGATATGCGCATCAGTTCCAAAGCTTCAACCCCTCGCAGCTCAATGAGCAGCGAGATGAGATAGAAGTGCTCTTCTGATGCGGTGCCGCTGAACGTATTGCGAATTTTGACGTTGTCAAGGGCAAGACCACGCGCAGGATCCTTGTATTGCCAGTTCCAGAGCACAGTTGTCGCATAAGTCAGAATGGGCGGCAAGTCCAGATGGCGCGACAAGCCTGTCCATGGTACTGCAAGGGAAGCAGGAACTGTGGCGGCGTATATGCCAGCAGCCTCTTGTGCTGCGTCTGCCGCGTCATCTGCGGCTTCTAGAGAGACGTCGTGCTCCCTGCCTTTTCCCTTGCCGTCCTTTGCCTCGTTCCAGCCTTGCGCAAGTGGTGCGAGAGAGTCCTCCGTCGGCTCTGGCTGGCTGTGCAAATAAAAGTGCGCGAGGAAGGAGAGGACGAGATGAGCGCGCCTTGCGTGTCGAATGTCGGCCAGCACCACTCCCTGGAGAGGCAAGATTGGCATTTCACGGATTGACCTCCTCCACCTCCTTGCGCTCGCACGGCGATGAAAGTTGGTTGTCGGACCGCCGCCATAGAGACTGAGGCCCGCGTGTGCCGCTCCCTCTAGCTTGGACTCCCACTCTTCGTATACATCCGAGAGGCGCGAAAGGGGTGCCTCGGGTGGCAAAAAGCCCGATCTGACGTCGATGTCGAAGTCTGCTGCGGCAAGAGTTGAAGTGTCCGGCATGCCGGTCTCGTGCGCCACAGCCGCCAAGCCTTCGTGCGTGTTCTGAGCAGGCAAAGGATTTGGTCCTTGCGGACGCAGGCCGTCTGGCAGCACAGCAGCTAGCTCAGCAAGCGGCTGATGGCGTGCGCCAGCGTCCGATGAGCTGTTGCTGCACGAGGCTGTGGTGCGTGGCGGAGAGAAGCGGGAGGCCTTGCGACCTTGTTGGGCTAGGAAATGGTTGGCTGGAATGTCGCGCCACCCATCATCAAAGCCCTCCTCGCATTCATCTTGGCTGCTTTTGAGGGAAAGCGAGTCGAGCGATGAAGGCGAGATCGCTTCTCGCGTTGAGATCCCAGCTTGACCATCGACGTGCAAGCGCGCCTGGTGAGAGCTGTGAGCGAGGGCAGATGCTGCATCTGGCTGTTTCATCTCGGCGCCAGGTACGTGGGCTTGCATCCTTTGAGCGGATGGCTGCAGGGACTGCGAGGAGGGTGGTGAGGAGTAGTGAGAGTCGGAGGTATCGCCGCAGCGAGTTGTGCTACGATGACGGTATGCGAAGTGCTTGTATGCGATTGCGATTAGCGGTAGTCGTCCTATGGGCAGCAAGGTAGTGCTTGCTATAGTGGGCGGTCGCGCCAAGGATGTGCAGCTGCGGCGTGCAGTTGCACAGCCCAAGAAGATGTCGTGTGTTTGCTGTGGATGGAATGCGAAATCGAGAGTGACCAAGACTGGCGAGACAGATTGCTTGGCAATGTTGTGGGCATGGAACTCGGGCGGAAAGATGATCGTGGGGCGCTGATCGGCATCACAGTCGAACAGTCTTAATGAGGTGCATGCTGATTCAACATTCACGGTTCTTGATCCGTGATTCGTCACATTCACGATCACTCGAAAATTGCAGCTACGAATATTGATTACTCTACTCTGATCATCCACAATTTGAATTATTCCGGATGTATATCATTTGTCCGATTTCAGCGCGATCGATCGATCCGATTCAAGATTCTGCATGGGCGCGGATTCGGCCGTAAGACGGAGAAGCTCACGTGGGCACGACCTACGCCTCCGCGGGTCCGCTCGAATCAAGAATCTTGAATACGAGTCTTGAATCATGAATGAGTCATATCCACCAGCAGTCTCGTCAAGAGCTTGATGAGTCACGAGCCCTTTGAATTTTGCGTGCGCTACTGCGGGAGCGATTTGTGTAGCAGTGTTGTCCGGGAGGAAAGTTTAGGTCTGATACGGAGCTCCGTCTTCGCTCGGGTCAGACTCACGGCTGTCTGCAGGGAGATCGCTTCACACTCACACAGCAGCCAATCTCAGCGATCGTGAATCCAATGAAGTCCGGCTCTTTGGATGCACGGCTGACGAAAGTGCAGGAGGAAGAGCTTTGACTTTGATCTGGGTGGAGGACGTGTACATGTAAGTGCTCGGTGCATGCAAGTGACGAGTCACGAGTGCAAGACTTCCTTTGCCAGCAGCCAGTGCCCAACATGAAGAACACGATCTAGGAGCTGGGTGTCGCACCACTAACACCTGACCTCACCGACTGTCGGATGGATGCGGACGTCCCTCCTCGGCATTGCTCTCCTCGGCGTGGTTCAGAAAGACGTTGTAACGTTACGCGGTGCCTGAAAGTCATTGCACGGATGTCATCTGTAGAGGGATGTGTGAGCTGCCAACCACTGCCTACGGTGCGGAGGACATCCATCATCTTCAAGTTCAGACGTGCTGTCTCGCACGAAACTGGACCGCGTTCCCTACTCGTGCCGCCACGGCCAGTGTTATGGCTTCCTCCCACGGTACCTCTATGGGAGGTCTGCAACGAGCGACCGACCAACGCAGGGTTTACCATCGCCTTTGGCAACGCAAAGTCGCCCTGAAGTAAGCATGTATGCGTGCCCGAGCTCTTTGGCAGCATCGTGGTCTATGCCCACCGGCGTCACTCATCTCCACCATCCACGGATACTTGCTGGTCGCACTGCGCGGTACGTCTGAGCGCGTCCAACGCAGACTGGCGTAAAGTTGGGCTGCACTGCTACAGGGTGTCGCACGTCTAGGCACGAACTTACCGCTGAATGGCACTCCCCGCAGACTCAGGTCACTTCGCTCGAGCCAGGCCAGGATCGTCGTTACATCGGTCACTGCGATCGCACCTTGCGTTCCAAGGGCCACACCTAGCAATCTCTGGCCGCTTGCGGCCGACATCACTGAGACTGCGCATCAAGACACGGAAGTGTGGGAAACGCAGAGTTGCGGAGACACCTCACTCAATCAAAGCAGCAGTCCCAATCTGGACTGCGACCCAGGTAGACGGCGCACTGCGACTGCGCTTAGTCGTGTATCCCGGTCCACTTCGCTGCGGCCACACCGAGGATCTCGTTCTTCGTTTGCCTCTCAGCATGCGAGAAGCAAAGTACACGAGCGACTCGACTGTTTTGTTCATGGCGCACACCTCTTTGCATCAGCTCATCCTTCCACACCAGATCTCGAACCTCCCAAACAAGTTTTGTCTCTGCTGCGCCTCAAAGTACATAATCGTACCGCGCCCGATCAACGTGCGCGAATAATTTCCCCCATTTCCAAAGTGAGTCTGTCAAGGGACTCGACTCGCCGTCCTTGTCCGCTACGCTCTTTACTACGCAGTTTGGACCGCTGGTTTCCAAAGTAGCTTTGAGACTTTTCGTACTCAATTTTTGCCCCAACACCTCTCACTTGTCCCAGTCTTCAGAGGCAGCTGCGTCACAGCTTCCAGTCCCGTTTCTTTGCGAAGGGCTGGTGTGTCTTTCATAGCCAGACCTCGGTCTCCGAAGGGCACTGTCACTCGGCACAATGCATCTGACCATTTTGACTCGATGCGCTCTGCTCGTGCCCGTTGTCATCCTCGCGCGTGCTGAACCAGCTCATCCGTCAACGATCTCCCACAACTCCAAGACGCTCGACGCCCGCTCGGTACCGGTGGCGGATCACACTTCCAGGTCAGACTCCGAGCCAACTTCGATTGCTGGGAATCTTGAGATCCGTAAGCAACAGGAGCGAGCCGCCGGAGACTTCGCTTTTACTCCGCCTGTCGGGGGCAGCGAAAATGGACGCCGGACAATTGCCCAATCGAGCTTCGAGGCTCGCACACACGACTTGTCAGCCCGCGCCACGCAACCAGCCGTTGAGTCAGCCATCGAACGTGACACTTGGTCGCCGCCACTCGAACAAAACGCTCGAGACCAAACAACGAGCCGAGACGTGGAAAAGTTTTCCCTCACAGCACGCGACAAGCCCCCCGAGCATCCTGTGAACGACCATATAGCTGCATGGGTTGTTCCACCATCTGTCGGTTCAAACGAGCACCATCGTCGGTCGGCACGATCGCAGGAAGAACCCCATTTCGCCAGCCGCTCGATAATTGGCAACGTATCCCCGCCGCTCAAACACTTTGGCCTGGTGAGACCCATAGGGACACCCGGAGACGGCGGCGAACACCATCGTCGTTCCTCTCCAGTCGAAGAAATGAATATCGCTCGCCGTTTCGAGTTCCGCAGGACGCCGCTTCGTTCCAAGAACCTCGACATAAAGGAGTATCAACGCAGGTCTCACGCTGGAGTAAGCGCTCTGACTGCCCGTCGTGCAACCACTGGCAATGTGCATGGTCCACTCAGACTTTTTGGGATTGTAATAACAGGTGGCGGCTGGGAACACCACCGTCGACAGAGTGTCGATGATGAGGAGTCGACCAAGACCAGCCGCCGCGATCTCGATCCGCTCCCATCTCAGAATCTGGGCCATACTAAACAGAAGCGAGCAGAGAAGCCAAAGACGCGGCCATCGTGGGGCTGCTGTGGAGCCGCATACGAGCTGTATCGTCGCTTGACCTTCAGCACGCTGATAGAAGTGTCGACGAGTACTGATGATTCCAACACCCACATTACCACCACCTCCTGGACCGTCCTCGCCAAGCGATCCCCCGCCCCCAATCCAGGGACGACCGAAAAGGCAGAAGTGCAGCCGCAACCCACCACACCAGCTTCTCAGGACCCCACGGTTGACCCCACAACCAAAGCTTCGCAGACCAAGCCAGGCTCCAAAGCAACAATACCTGACAAGTCGGACGAAAAGCAGGCCCAGGTTTACGGCAATCTGAAGTTCCCCTTGGCAATCTGGGGTGGCGGAGGGGAGGTAGGGCGTCGTTAAGTCCGCACGAATCGTGTCTGTGCCTTGTCTCGATGTGGCTCAGCGGCGCATTTGCCACCAACACTCTCTTTAGAATCGTTTCCCCCCCTTCCCACCTGAGCATCTGCCTGTTGAGCTGATAGGTAGATCAGAATGAGACCATCGTCCGCAGTCCTCGAGTCATTTGTCGGACCCGGCGCCTCCCTCTGTCAAAATGTGCAAACGTCGAGGCAGCAATGCTATGGCCAGATTGCTCACGGGCACGCACCCTTCCCCTCCGCTATCCTCCTTCCTTACCATCTGCGATCCGAGAGGGTGACTGCTGGCCACGATCGAGATCTATTGTACGCGTTCTGACCGAGAGACTTATTCTCAATCAGAATCGGCTGCCAGACAAGGCCTTTGAACGCTCCTTTTTCTCCTTCCAAACGAAATCTTTGCAACGCTTGTCCTGGTCAAAATGCACCATCTCGAGCGTTGAAAACAGGATGGGCGGCGATTCACCAAACCATGCTTCTGTCCCTCTTCCGTGATGAGCCTCTCGCCGAGCTGTTGCCCGTGTTCGCCTGGGCATGCGCTGAAAAGCTGGCATAGTTGGCTAGCGTGGATCTCTGCTCGTCGGAAACTTGATCAAGAAATAAATTTGCACAGCGCCTCGAGAGATGCATATTCGACTGGAGGTTGCGCATTCGTGGCGCCGATCATGATGGTTGATCGGCTCTGCGCAGAGCGCTCGGTAGTCGGCGCGAGAAGAATGCGCAAAAAGGGGAAAGGAAAGGCTTGAATCTGCTTCCGGCTAGCGATGGTGGCAGCATTCCCACCGGCGGTGCATCAGACGCCAAGAGCCTCGGTAGGAACCAAAAAGCTGTCAAGGTCCCAGGTCGGTCTCCTGAATCGGTTAGAAAAGGTCGACGCTTGGAATGCGCCAATCACGTGCTGATCAAGTGTTCTGCAGGTGCGAGCAGACGCCCGTTGCAAATGATATTATGAGGCTGAGCACAGAGGCAAGGCAAAGGGTTACCGAGGTGGCCCACGCGCTGATCATCGACGTGCTTTGACATGTGCGATCTTCCCAGTCGTGACCGCGCGCATATTGAGTGGCGCGGTAATGCGCAGGACAAGCTCCAAACGCTTCGTCACCTGCCTGGTGGTGGACGACGATCTCTCCCAGTTTACGAAAGCGCTCGTCGCACAATACAGCGGCGCTCACGGAGATGGCAAGACAGGCCCAGAGAGGTGCGGTGGTGCTGCTCTGACGCAACCAAAGCCCTCCGCTCAACCCGAGAATAAGGACTGCGGCGAGTGGAGATTGCCAAGAAGCCATGTAGTAGTCCAAGACTGCTTCGAGCGTCCCAATCAGCATGTTTGAGTCGATCATGGCGCTGACTTGGATGTAGCGTGGCACGTCGCCCCCGACGTGCGAGGGTGTTGGGAGTCGTAAGTCTGGATAGATAGCTACGTCATGCTCAGGCGACCGCGCACATGCACCCTCGATTGCCCCGCGAATGCGACAATACGTTGGAGAGACAGCTGCTGAAGCCGACTCAACGAGTATTGACTTCATGCACACCCATGAGCGGCGCCAGGGCATCGAGGCCGTAATGACGATGATCATCGCGACGATTGCTTCAAGCGCTATGCATTGACCGATGCTGTGTAGACCAAGACGGGCAGCGGCCGTGCTACTGTACCCCTCTATACTAATACATACACTCTTGACTGCACTTCTCTCGCCACGCTGCTCGCGCTCCTAACCGCTCAACATACAATCACGAATGCACAGCTCAAGCTGCCATCTGTGTGCTGCTCCAATTCGTGCCTCACTTGATCAGCAAGCGGAGTTTCATGCGCTAAAGATTGCCCTGCATCCGACCTTGGTTGCCAGCCGCGCAGGGCTTGAATTTTTGGGACTCCGCGCCTGCGTATGGCCCCCTGGAACGAGCATGAAGATCACAAATGAGCAACAAGGTGAGCAGGATACTCGTGAGAGTAGCATGAGAGAGTCCGCCCCTTGCCATGCTTGCCACGGGCGCAGCTTGTATAGAGCCGCGTCTGCGGTGAGAAATGATGAGCGCAACTTGCTTCGTACGTGTAGTCCCGCTTCAGGATCGTGATCGAGTGACTCACATATGCATCAGGGCCAACTCTGATGGTCCACACAAGGCACACTCGATCATGCGCGCACGGCAGCCTCGCGCGCCCTTGATGCAAGGATTTGTTGAGGTCAACCGGCCTTGATTGTGATTCACGATTGGCATAGGCAGCGGCAGCGGCAGCAGACGCGCAATACTCACACTCCTTGTCAACGCGTTGGTGGCCCCCGTGCGTACAGCTGCTGTACCACGCAAGCGGTCAAGAGTCCAGCCCATATATATAAGCCTGATGAACTTGATCAATCTATATAGGCCACCCCACTCATGCACCTTGTAGCCTGGTGTGCGCGCGTTGCTGCCCATGCATCGCGGGGGCAGGTCACGAGAACGCAGCTTACTTTCCTGGCATCCTGCTGTACGGCACACATGCAAGGACGCTAACGAGTCTTATTAAAATCGGATCATCCAGCAGCATTTAGCGCGTGCGCGGTGATCAGGTTCGTGTGCATCGAGAGTCAGCACGAGCCTCTGCTGCAACCAGCAGCATGATGCTGCTGAAGAGTCCAAAAGTGGCCAAGGTCGCACACAGGACCTCGAGGCTGGTTCCCTACAGTCAGAGTGCGGCATGCTGCTCTGCCGCCATTCCATCCGCCTCATCACATTCGCGCGTATCCATATCAGTGCTTGAACGTGGGTGGCATGATCACAATAAGAATGTAAATTTGTACAGCTTGTGTGTTGGTGGGGTGCCAGACATCCGCTCACACCATCGCAGACAGCGTCGCTGAAGACTGTTGTGCCAAGTATGAGGCACTCGAAGACTCTATATACGGTCTCATCGAGAGGTCAGCAATAGCAATCAAATGATCTCGAAAGGCACAATTTAAACTTGAAGCAGCTAGGAGCCCGGGACTTTTGTGGATGCTGCATGCGCATGACGAAGCGAACCTTGCTTTGCCGTGCAGCCGCGCCGATCGAGCTTCTGCTGCTGCTGCATGCCGCTGGGGGCCAGCAGCGCGCGTTCCTGCCCAGATTGCCTCGTTTGCATTCAGTGCAGCGGGCTCATGCATGATCATGCATCACACTCGGGTCGCGCTATTTGCACAACCCAATATTAGTAAATACACAACCCGGCTGATTCAGTCAAATGTAAAACTCGACTACTGGAATCTTCTCGAAGAGTCGACTTGTCGAGTCGATTTCCCTATCGCACGAGAAGCAGTCGACTTCCCAAGTCAACTTGATGCAGAATCACGTGTAGCCGACTGAATGAGTCGGCTGCCCAAGTCGTGTATGCTCTCGTACGAGAGCCACTCGGCTACCCAAGTCGTCTGGGCTCCCGTACGAGAACACACACAACTTAGGTAGCCGACTCTCACATTGATCAATAAAGTCATCTTGATCCAGTCGACTTGGTGCGCCGACTTTGAAAGTCGACTACCGTCACGCCAGGATGAGTCGACTTGGACAGTCGGCTCGTTTTGTCAAACGACTGCATGAGTCGACTTCGAAGGACGGCCAGGTGAGCCGCCCCCCACCGCCGACTGCATCAGCCGATTTGTCCACAAGTCGACTTGTCAAGTCGACTTGTGGACGAAATTCTGTGTCAATCAATGAGCCGGTTACCTAGCCGACTTTCAAAGTCGACTCACTCAGTCGACTTTGAAAATCACGATAGTGAAACTCGACTTGGCGAGTCAATTTTCGACTCGGCCGAGAGCACGGTGATGGTCGAGATAATCAGTCAACTTCGCAATACTATGCCGTTGTCTGTGCAACCGAGGCGCACTAGCGCAACGTTCTGCTTTCTCATCATCACCACCGGCCCCCTGGATACCAACCAGCACCTCCTAGCACTTCAACAGCACAAGATCGAGTCAAATGGAGCTTAAGCCACCCCAAGAGCGCGAATTTGAGAGTGGCGATGCTGCTTTTGACTATATGATGAGCGTCGCACGAGAGCAGGGCTATGGTCTTGCACACGCACGCACAGCAAAAGGAGCAACATATCGCTACATCGCATGCACAAGAGGAGGAGAAGCTCGGCATCGACCATCAGAGCCCGTAGAGCGCAACCGTCGGAAGAGCGGCAGCAAGAAGATGAGCTGTCCATTCGCTGCTCGGATCTCGCTGCGTCAGGGCGGTGTGTGGAAGATCGATGTGGAGAACGCATCTCATAATCATGAAGCCGTGAGCCCTGAAGGATACCCGTGCCACCGATCAATGACAGAGGAGCAGAAGCGGGCGTGCTATCAGCAGTCATGTATGGGTGCGTCATTGAAGCAGATCATGAAGACGATGATGGGTGATAATGCGGGACTCGTTGTGACAGAAGACGATGTGCAGAACGTCGTCAGTCGCATCAAATTTCTGGACTACCGGCACGAATTGACGATGCAGGCGCTACTCGACTGGATGATCAAGGAAGACGTTCGGCACAGAATCAAGCGGAACGAGCTAGATCAGCTTCAAGGGCTGTTCATGACTTCCGACGATGCAATCAGTCTCGCACGGAGGTGGCCGTACGTTCTCTTCATGGACAGCACGTATAGCACAAACGTGTACAAGCTGCCTCTCTTCCAGATCATTGGCGTCGCGTGCAACGGCATGACTTACACACTTGCGCATGCGTTTATCGCTAAAGAAGACGGCCTTCATTTTGCGTGGGCTTTAGAGACGTTGAAGGAGATGCTTGCCGGCGCAGAGCCTGTCACGATCTTCACAGATCGTGATCAAGCACTTATCAACGCGCTCGGCAACGTCTTCCCTAGCGCAACGCATCTGCTCTGTCGTTGGCACATCTTCCAGAACTTCATGGCGCACATTCGTGCTAAAGCTGGCGACGACTGGGTGGAGATCGAGAGCGACTTTAGGGCACTGACTTATGCTGACACCAAAGAGATCTTCGAGGAGCGTTGGGAAGAGTTCTACGACAAATGGCACATGACTCACGGCGTCACTGCATACGTTTGCAATCTGCTCGAAGTCAGAGAGAAGTTTGTCGAATGCTACACGAGGAAGCACTTTACGCTTGGT